AATTTACTATATATATTATATAATATATTTACTAGTACTAATACTAAGTCTACTATTTAGTACTATTAAGAATAGTCTATATAATTATAAAATAGAAAAGTTCTATAAATAGTAAAGTTAGTGTGTAAGTCTATAGTACTTAGGTACGAGCCTAGCGAGCCTATAGCACTTAGGCTAAGCCTAGCGAGCCCATAGGAATTAAGGTTTACCCTATAAGCTCATAATAAGTATCTATTGTAGCCTAGCGCTGCGAGCCCACGGTAGCCTAGGGCTTGCTGGGCTACCCGGTCCAAAATATAGATATAAGATATATTACTACGAATATAACCTTATCCTCTACCCTAGTATACTTAGTTAGATTAAGCTTAAAGGTAGTCTTAAGTTATATAAGGAAGTATCCTAGCTTCTTCCTATTTCTATAGAATAGTTCTATCTTAATACTATCCCTAGATATATTAGTAAGTCCTAGTACGTTAACTATATCTACGTCTAAGTCGTCGTTAGAACTACTATCTTAAATAATATTAGTCTTTAAAGAATTATTTAAGGCTATAAATAGATATACGCTAGGTAGTAGGGATCTAATTCGAGATAATCCTACGTTAGATATTTAATACTAATTAAGTAGTAGTTAAAGTATTATAATCCGAGCTATAAGTAGTTCTAACTAAGATAGGGTTCCTTAATAGAGTAGATACTAGAGTATTAACTAAGATAATAAAGGGAATATATAATTATCGGACTATATCCTAAAACGTAGGTATAGAATTACTAACGAAGTTAACTACGAATAGTCCTATCTAGGATAATAAGCGTATATATATAATACTAGAGCGCTATCTATATCCCTATACTTCCTTACTCTAGTAGCCTATAGCCCTATAGACTATAATTATTTCCTAATTCGGCTCCCTAGTTACGTACCTTATCCTCTTATAGCCTTATCGGTATACCTTCCTATTAATACCCCTAGGTTCCCCGAGGGTACCCGTATAAGGTAACCTATTTCTTAACCGTCGTAATATAGCCCTTACTTTTAATATATTTAAGATGAAGGTAGATAGCGTTCGGCCTTCGCTCTAGTCGTATAAGTAACGCTTATACGCTAACCTACCTTATACTAGAAGACTAGAAGTAGTGATTAAAGGCTTTAGATACTTCGTGCCCCTAACCTACCGCTATTCTTACTACTTTCGTGACCCCTATGTCGACCTAGTTTGTAATAATACTATACTTTAGAATATTAAAATTAATTATAAAGAAAAGACTATTTAATAAGTTACCGTTAATGTGTTCGCTAATTATATAGGCCTTTCTTCTCCTATTATATCATCCTATTATCTTATAGCCTATACCGGCAAGCTAACATACCGACATGTCATTTAGTCCGATCCGAATGTCACGTGATACGTGAGGCTCACTCCGGTTAACCTTCCTTCCTTGATTCTTAGTTCCTGGGCGTGACCCCTCCGGTGGCCTAGTTTCTAACACAACGTTCCAATATATCACTAGAGCCTTGTCACGTGACTCAGCCTTATATTCCATCGGCTGACCTGCCTCTGCAGTAGGTGCGCCTAACCTTGGCGACCTTCAAGTGACCTTAGTTCATAACATTCACGTCGACTCTTCCTGCACTGCCAGAACTTTAAGTGAAGCCCACACTCTGAGGGCTTTTTCATATTGTTGATAACTATCCTAGTCGAGATCTCTAGAAAGGCTCGGTAGGCTCGCGAATGGCGTCCGCCGATGCACCAGAAGCTGTCAGAACACAAGCCGATCTCGAGGTTTATAACCGTGAACCTAGTGTGGGCTTAGGCCCCGCTCTTCAGCCTCACGGTTACGATGCTATTCCCACATATAATCCTCCAGGCACAACCGACTTGAAAAGGTCCATGGGAAGATGGCAATTCGCCACTTTGGCAGCATTAGTAGCCGCAATCGTTGTCGGTGCGGCAGTAGGAGGAGGGCTTGGGAAATCTCTGAGCGATTGTCAGAGTGGGAAAAGGTCTATCTACCCTAAGAGAGTATCCTCATCTTCTCAAACCTAGCGCCTAGTATCACTCAAGATTCTGAATTCAACTAATATCACATAGCACCTGTACAGTTTCTTCGACCATCAATTATGTCCCACTTTCATCCTCTCAGATCTCTAATCTCTCTTTTAGCTGCGAAGACGGGAGGGTTGTTCAAAACAGTGGGAAATTTCTCGGCACGTACACCACCTACTGTGGCAGGAACTTCGGTACCCACGTTACCGCTAACGAGACTGATTTAACGGGGAAAAGTCTCCTGCTTGATGACATCTTGGGTATCATTGCTTACACCCTGGAAGATTGCTTGCAGACATGCTCGGTCACACAAGGTCTTGCAACGAGTCCGATGCCGTGTAGATCTCTCTACTACAACGCCGACATACAATTTGCGGTGAGCGAGTGGGGTGCAAATTGTTGGATCAAAAACGGCACACCGGCCGATATCGCATCGGTTCCTGTGTATCCGAATACAATTTTCCTCAGCGCCACACTCAATGATCCGATCCCCTGACACTAGTGGGAAGTGATAGCTCTGTCGCAAAGCATGATCGGGATCTCGATGCGTTTTATACCATCCATGTTCGATATCGATCCTTTTCAAGACTATTAGTTCCAAAGGCTCGGGCTAGCAGGGGAAAAATAATGGTTCAGCAAGATTCTAATGCATGTGACTCCCAATGGGGATGCCAGATTTTGTAGAGATGAGGCAGGTCATTGGTTTTGTCACTGCAATAGTAAGTTCCCCAGTGTAGTAATATTCATGGAAGATGGCCTAAAATCAGCCTTTCTACTACTATCGTGTTCATGGTGCTCAGCGGGAGTCGATTTCACCGTTATCGTCTCATCGTCCAGGAGTTGCTGTGTCTCTTGCGCTGCGACCGTCTTTGCGCTGGGTTTCCGGGTTCTCTTTGTGGTTAACATTAACGTCGGGACGTGCCGGGGCTAACGTGTGTGCCTCGCTTCGGGATTTGCAGGGTCGCTTCACGCGTCGCGTGTCACTCTTTTCATAAATTCTTCGTCTTTTTGCACTGTTTATAATGTATAGACAACTAAGCCATACGTAAGCCGGACACCGGAATAAAATTATTCCAGATAGAGTCGTTAATACTGTATGCTTGATTTGAAGGGACTACAGGCAAAGTACAGTCGTTTTTGTTAAGACTAAGCGATACCCTATTAACGCCTAGTCACGTGATTAGGCTTATATAAGCTAGGATCACGTGGTATCCATTAGGCAAGGCTATACTTAAGCCTTACGGAAGATTCTATAAAACGCCATTCTATTCTATAGGATTAGAAATTACTTAACTTGATTTCTAAGCATCCTAGGAGTTAACTCGTATTTACGAATGCTCGGTAATTACTCTCGTACTTACGAGATATTATAACGAAGCCTACGCCTATATAAAATAGGCCTATACTCCTTTACTTAGATAGATCTTAAGTCATTTAATAAGATAGGAAGCGACTATATATTCTACTCCTTTATCTATGTTTTAGACCGGGCAGCCTAGTAAGCCCTAGGCTACCGTGGGCTCGCAGCGCTGGGCTGCAATAGATGCTTATTATAAGCTTGCAGGGCAAACCTTAATTCCTGTGGGCTCGCTGGGCTTAGCCTAAGTGCTGTAGGCTCGCTAGGCTCGTACCTAAGTACTATAGGCTTATACACTAACTTTACTATTTATAGAACTTTTCTATTTTATAATTATATAGACTATTCTTAATAGTACTAAATAGTAGACTTAGTATTAGTACTAATAAATATATTATATAATATATATAGTAAATTTTACTAAAACTTCGATATTTTAAATTATTAAGTTATTAGCGTAGTTAGTTAATTAATTAGAGTACTAGCGAGTTAGTCGACTTTAGCGTAAACCTTAAACCTTAAATTTTTTAAAAAATTAAAAATACGCTAAATTTACTAATATATCTATGGATAAAAATTACCTAATTAGGAAATATAATAGTAGCTATAAGTTCTTATAGAATATAGAATAAGCGCTGAGTGGCCCTGGGCTCCCTGGGCTCCCATAGCAAATTGAGTTACGCTGGGCTGCGGGCCAAAACACCGATGTTCTTTCTACGGTCTTTAGCTACTTCTACAATAGATCCTAAACCTTGTCCCCCGGACAGTTTTTAATTGCGGCTTCGCTTTGTAGACATACTCTAGATTATTAGGGACTATTTTTAAATCTACCTAATGAAAGCTAGCGAGAGATGGAGTTAAGCGTGCGGATATACAATTACCAATTAAAACAAGCTTTGACCTAGGGATTAGGTAAAGGTTACAATACGATACGAAATCTCCTCTACGCTAAGACAATATATAAGTAGTAACGGTAAGTAGTTTTCAACTCTATTCATTATACGCCACCGCGCATACGCCACATTAATTTAGCTAGACTACGTCTAACTTTATCCTCTACGGAGTATAGGCTGTCGCATAATTATTAACGCTGTCTAATACTCTATAGCACCGACGAAGACGAAAACGTACACTTTCTTTACGCAGGGGCGATGCAGATATAGGGACTCTTGTAACTTCATCTACGAGTAGATTATAAGTACCTAGAACCGTATCGACTTAGACGCATTAGCTTCTCTAAGTATCGAACGCCTTAGTATTAACTCCGCAGCTTCGACTTATATTAGCTCTACTATTTAAGCTATACTAGGTTTACGTACAAGAGATCCCTATCGGTTTCTTTTAAGCCCTAGGGGCTATCGAAATAATCTATATCCCTACCTCTATCCTATAAATGGCCGGGAAGCTATAAATAGCGGCGACGAGATAGTTAAGAAAGAGGTAGGAGACTCCTTTACCGACTTTTCTCTAGGAATCTCCATTTATATTATTCGTAGGCCGAAGAACGCGAAGACGATTTTACTCGAGATCTTTCCGGCGCCCTAGTCTCCTTTAGCGATTTCGGTCACGTCCTTAAGGTTTCTCTCCCAACGGACTTCTCCTATGCATACGTTACCGGTATCGAGCGAGGAATCACGCCTAAAACAATAGTTAAGATACTTCGTAGCTTCGATTTCGATATCAACATTAACTGCGTTCGAATTCCTTAGTATACCCTACCGTTAGAGACGAGAGCTTTAGTGAGAGTAGAAGACTCATTTTTTATAGAAAATCTTTACGCTAGGCTTAAGTAAGAAAGGTTCGATCTTTACGTAGTACTATATCCGATTAATAGCTAGCGGTCGAGTTATAAAAAACTCTATATATTTTAGCATAAAGCTACCCGGAGTACTTAATTAAATTATAGTAATAGTAAGATCGTGAATAGAGTTACGTAGAAATTTACTAACGGTCGTTATAAGGTTCTAGGTCATTATATAAAATATTCCTCTATAATAGGGCCTACTACTCGGGGAAGGCGAGACGTATTTTCCTATAACCTAGTCCTCTAGACTATTTTATTAAGCGACGTTCCTAGTGATGCGATAACTATAGATATCGAATACGGTGTCTTAGTATCGTTTAATAAACCGTAACATATTAAACTAGGGCGCCCTAGCTACTATACTTCCGATTCGAAAGTTAGTATTAAAGTTTAGTCCCTCTTAAAGGAGTACGGCCGAGTAGGGAAATTTATTCTTTTACCTAAGTCTAAGGGTAAACGAATGAAAGTAATTTCTTAGTTTTAGGAGGACGTAGCTACTATATCGGTATACTTACTTAACGATAAGCGACTTTCTATCCTAGGGCAGGGAAAGCTAATCGTAGTATTAGTATAGTCAGCTAAGATTAGGGTTTAAATACTAGTCTACTTAGCCTTAAAGAGCGTTATCGAGGAGTAAGTAAGGACCTAGAGAGAATAACATCTTACATTTTATATCTATACAAACCCCTCGTAAGCGTTTACGACACTAAAGGTTAAGGGCGAGGGCGACAATGCGAATAAAGTAGCCCTTACCTATACAACGCTTAATAGGATTTTACGTAGAGTTATCTTAAGATAGGGCGAAAATGTAGTCTAGGCGTCGGTACTTAATATTAATGGAAGTGCCTATAAGAAGGTAAAGGCGATTAAGAAGGAACTCCGCATATTTATTCGTAGAGATAAATCGAAACGCTAGCTTTATTTCTACGGTCCTCATAAAAAATACGAGTAGGCTGTTACTTATATTAGCGAAGCCCTTAAAGAGGAATTATCTACGACCTACTAAATTAATCTTAATCTCGACTAATTTTCGCGCATAATTCGAGGTAGTTTTAAGTATATTAAATAAGCTCTAGGGAAAAATGTGGCCGTTCTCGACGTAGTAGTAAAGAGGCTTATAGTCGGTAGTATACAGTACTAATACGAAACGGCGTTATTAATCTTAAATAGCGAAGCCGTTATAGAAATCTATAATATCTTAGTACGCCTTCTATTACTAGTAGGAGATTATCCTATCTACTTCTATAAGGTAGAAAATCCTATTTAAACCTCCTATAAGTATACTTACTACCTTAAGTATTTCGAAGAAAGCTATAAATCCGCAGCATCGACGAGTAAAACTAAATTTTAAGTTAAATACTAAGGTAACGTAGGTACTTACGCGACTATATTTACGCTACTAGAGCTAAAAGAGCGATTATTATCTACTATCTTCGAAATAGTACTCTAGTTATCCTTCGAGGAGTATATCTAACGTTACCCTAAAGCCTTCTTATTAGGAACGAATAAGCGCCGCTAAGCGAACGCCGAGATTCTAGTATATAAGAGCTACTCACCGTATGCGAGTCTTAGGGGAACCTTATACTTTAAGCTTACTACGATAGATACGTTAAGGTATTACTTATAATTAAGAGATAGATCTAATATTAAGACTATTTACACTACTTTACTAGTAGTCCTACCTATTAGTACGAGTAGTATAACGAGTTAGACCCGTAGTTTAGACTTAGTTATATAACCTACGTTACCGTGGCTATAGAGTAGTACGATACTTAATGTTTTTAGTTTATACGAGAGTTAGACTCTTATTTTCTCTCTAGTTTTACCTCCTTATTACTAGGTATATAGTAGTTAAATAAACTCCTATTGAAACTATTATATTAGGTAAAACTCCCCTCTTATAGGCATTAGGATAAAAGCCTTTATAAAGTAAAGTAAAGTAGAGTAGACTCGTAGAATACCCTTATACGAAAACGAAAGTAGAGAAAATTTTTTCCTTCCTTAATAGATCTATAATAAATATAATAGGCTACGTTAGCTAGTTCGAGAGAAGTATAGCTTCTAGTAATAGTCGAAGAGCTTCGTATATAAATATAGGAGCTATAACGATAAAGGGCGCTAAGGACTCGTTAAGTACTTCTAGAAACTAACCGCTTTACTAGTCGTACGAAGGAATAGAATATATAGTTAATAATAATAAGAGTAAAGCTACGAATCGATAGAGAAGTAATTAGGAATAATAAGGCCTAATTCTTCTATATCTATAGCTTATTAAATACGAAGGTATAAGCTCTCGTACTTACCTTTATACGAGCTATATAAGAGAGTAGAGAGT